AAATGTTTTTGTTTAATAAGTCCACATTAAAATTACTCCAACCGCAGCGATTCGAAGCATGAAAACCACAAGAGCATTGAAATATTTACCGGGGTAGAGTAAAATCGATATGTATATAAGTATGTGAGTGAGTGCATTATAATTGACAGTTAAACTTTAATTTAGAGTCAATTCGAAAATGCTTATTAAATTACACAAATTTCGTACCGTATAATGTTAGGCTTTAAAAATAGTTCTAAAGAATTTTTAGTCTGGCTAAACTAATAGTTGACTCCATTCTATTTAACTCTCCGTAGAGCTATTTGTGTTGCTCAAATAGTAATTATTTGAAAATGCGAAGTAAACTCAATTTTACAAATATGTTGATAAATATTTTATAATAATTCTAGAGGTTTATACAAAAAATGTTAAACTCATTTTTAATATATTTGAATATATTTGAATTTTGGGTAAAGCTTAAGTTGTGTAACGTAATTTTTGCTGCCCCAATAACAATATAAGCTAAGACCAAAAAATTTTATTACTTTTCTACCTTGACCCAAGTCCTCATCAATTATGCCAGCAGGAAGGCCAACTGGCAGGCACGCAGGCCCCGACTCCTGCTGATTAAGCTGAGCAGAATTGTTGTCGCATAATGAAAAACTCACAAATCTGAGGGAAGCCAGCTTCGCTTGGTTACTTTGCCTAGAGCGCCATAAATCACAGTTCAACAGCACAAATATTTCAAGCCCCAAATCCAATGAGGTGCCGGGCTGACTGCAATGGATACCTTAGTTAACTGGATTATGTATGCCAATCAATCAATGCGTTTTTCATCGGCACTCACTAAATTAAGTGTAAATATGTGCACAGCCTGAAAAACAGAACTGTAAGCTGTCGAATTTGTGGCCTCAGCATTGGCCTGCTGTTGATTGACGGGATTATGTGCCGTATGCGTAATATTTATTGTAAATAAATTGTGGACAGCTAATGGGTATGCTGAAGGTGTAAGAGCAATTTATTTAAATTGATTTTCGTTTTAAATTTCATTAATAAAGTTGCTGAGCTGGTTAGGAGAGAATAGGAATAAATAAAAGTACGAGGACGGGTTAAATGTACAGAAAGATTGTAGTTAAATTCTCTTTATATGAAGATGGCATATGAAACTAATTGATTTTCTATAATAATTTTATGGTAAAAAGAAAATCATATACAATAATATGTATAAATACATGATATATTTTAATAAGCTAATTGAATTCAATATTCAGCTTATAAATAAGCTCTTACATATGACCTGACGAAATATTTATTGGATAAAGACAAATGAAGGTCGCAGGGCAAAAAGTAAGCCCACTGCGTAGTTACCTATTGTAGATAACAACTGCAGAAGCTGCATTCGATATTTGACTGCAGCTGATTTTGCCTGCTGCCGGTGTCTGCATTTCTGTGTGTGTGTGTGTGTGTGTGTGTGTGGGTGTGCGTGTCTGCACTCATGCATATGGTAAGCCGATAATGCACTGACAATGGCGCCATTGAGCAGTCCTTTCAGCCCAAATCGGCTTAAAGTCTTTTGACTTCGATTCGCTTAGTCACGGCTTAAGTAGATACTGTCAATTGATGGGCCATTAAATCGATAGTTTTAAGCCTAGAAATTAGTTTTCCTATAGAGATGCATTTCAAGCAAAATTATTTCACCAACTTCCAGCAGCAGCTTTAATTGTAACTATTGAGTTAAGTCTTATGGACATTCAATAAACAACAAACAAGAATCGATATATTTTTAATAAATATTCGTTTTATAACAAACTGATTTAAATTTTATATATTATTAAATATCTTATATTCAAGCCGAATATAAGTGAGCTAAGTGAGAAATCAAATTGAAGATAACGTAATTTCAATTCGTTTTTATTATTTGTTTTTTTAGTTTGCTCAGTCTTTGGCCAGCTTTGACGAGCAGCAGAGGAGAAAAATTATAAATCATTTTATGAATTTTTTCAGCTGGCTGGAAGACACTTTTATTAAATTTGCAGAGCAATAAATTTTGTTTTAAAATTGACCAGCCAATGGAATTAATTGAAAAATTGCTGCAGCAGCCAATAAATCGGAAGCATGGGGAAGCATTTTCTGCTGTTTGCTTAAACTTTACTCATTACTCGATTGGCTGTGCACGAACTATGTTCAGTTAGTCAAAAGTCGCACGGCTTGACTGCGCAGCTCCTTGAGAACTTTAAGTCAGCCAACAAACTAAACAACTATCAGTTGCACCTGCAACACCACGAACAGGTGTCAACGGCAAAAGCGACATCAACGACAACCGCAACGCACCGCAGCGCATCGCATCGCACCGCCTCGCACTTCTTTTCGCTAATCAAGTACTTTGCGCTCGGTGGCATGCTTGATATCACCTTTGCCAGGACAGAACACGTACATGTGCTGTGGCTTACACTACGCTTGGCTTAGCTTCGCTTGCACGCGGATTACGCATACGCCGCGTTGCGTAATCGAGATAATCGCAAGGCCTGCGAGTCGACCGAGCAGCGAAAACCTTCGGTAAGAACTTTAGTTGCCTGTTAAATTTACACCTGATGTTTGATTAATGTGTTGATAATACATTTCTTATTATTATACCCTGAACCCATTGAAAATGGGAAATCAGGGTATAATGGTTTTGTGAAAAAGTATGTAACGGGCAGAAGGAGGCGTGGCAGACCCCACAAAGTATATATATTCTTGATCAGCGTGACGAGCTGAGTCGATATAGCCCTGTCCGTCTGTCCGTCCGTCCGTCCGTCCGTCCGTCCGTCCGTCCGTCCGTCCGTATGAGTGCGTCGATCTCAGAAGTTATAAGAGCTAGAGAGCTGAAATTTGGCATGCATACTCGTGAGTACCATACGCAGTACGAGTTTGCTTTATTTTTTCGATAAATCGTCCGATAACTTTTTTATCGAGAATAATCGAAAAATTGATTTTGTTTTTTCAGCCTAATTTGAACATTTTTAGACCTGGAGTCTTCAAATTTGGGTTGTATATAAAGTTAATGGATATAAAGATTTTGTAATTTACAGATTTTGGATACCACGCCCCCTTCGCCCCCAATTTGTAAAAAACGCATTTCAAGTACTAGAGACTTGTGCTTTGGAATGTACACACGTATTCACCATATAATTACGCTCTGCAGGTTTCATTAAGATCTTATGTCTACAAAAGAAATTATTCAACAAATAAATTCTCATAATATTGCCCACACTGCAGCGCAGCCCAGCGCAGTCGCTGCTTACTGCGCAGTTAGCAGAGCGCAGGCTTATGCGTGCGTGTGGATGCATGTGTATGTGTGTGTGCATAAAAGTGCAGAATGATTAGAATATCAGCTTAGAGGGTTCAGGGTATCTCCTAGTCGAGCAGTCTCGACTAGAGCCTTCTTACTTGTTTTAATATTATATTTGAGCCATCGAGCACTCAAATCAATCAATTTCATAGCAATATCGCAACTACCTGTGGCAGGTATCTACATATATACTTTTTGCAATATGATAGTTGTGAGGATTATTTAGACGCTTAAAAAGAATGTCGCCATTATATTCAAAATGAAGTCGGCAGAGCAACAAATGTAAATATTATAGTATGATTGCACCATTTTCAGTTATTTGGAGATTACTCTTGAGATCAGTCACCTAGATGATAATAAAGATTTTGCCTATCGTACCACAATCTATCAGTTGAGCAATTTGTAAATTCTTAAAGCAGTAGGGGTCATTTGAAAAGCGTTTCTACGAAAATTTAGCCAAAGCTTGTTTACCTGAAACCAATTAATTAGTTAATACTATCGAAGTTAAGGTGTTGGATGCAGTCTAGTTCATTTGTATTTGTTTTGAATATGCAAGATTTTAATAATGTTTTTACACATAAGCTATGAGACATTTATATATTTACTTTAATACAACTATCCTTTTTTATAACCCACTGAGAAGAGTAATCAAAAACCAGTGATATCTAAAAGAAAATTTTATTATTTTGCATGAGAAATGAACATTTCTACAGCCGACGTAAAATATATATATTTGTCCTTATAAATAAATAGATAGTTTAGTACGAATTTTAGAGTCTGCCTATATTCCTTAGTTAAAGGCTGTCTAAAATATTTGCTAGTAAGTTAAAGATAATCTAATTTTTTAAAATAAAAACTAGATTTGGGTTTGTCTCTTAGTAATTTGTTTGTTTGTTTTCTTTTCATTTTGTTCTGTGGTCAGTTTTTCTTCTCTTGAAGCACCCGCTCAAAGAAATATATAGACATACAGACTTATATTCGCTTGTACCTGTACCTTTTGTATATACACCTAATAAATCGGACCCTCCGAGCTAGAGAGTTATTTTATTTGTTTCATTTTTGGCTTGGAAAGATTTTATTTGCTTTTTTTTTTTGGAATTGCTTTTCATTTTTAACGTTTCGTTGGCAATTTAATTTTTGTGCTTTCCCTTATGGTGCGATGTTTGTGTTGTTTAAATTGTTTTTCTATTTGAGGTTGCCCTCACCCTCAACCTCGCCATCACCCTCGAGTTGCCAGCAGACAGTCGCAGAGTCAGTTCCCTAGTCAGGTATCCATTACAGTTGCCGTCAGGCAGCGTTTGGGCCACGCCTTCCTGCACAGTAATCGCCGCTCCGAGCTTTACGAATTTCAGGTTGGTAGCTTTTTTATTTGTATAATTCTCAGAGATAAGTGTGGGCAGACAAATGAAGAGAGAATGAGAGAGAGAGAGAGAGCGAGATAAATTTGCGAGGTTTTCTCTTTAAATATTTTAACTAACTATGTACACTACTCTGCATTCTTGTATATGGGATCCCATTATACACTTGCCTGTATTGCAATATATTAATTTATTCAACTGTAATTGAAAAGTTGTATACAGAGAGCAGGAGAATGAATGTGAAAATAGAAATTTATATTTGATTTCACTTGGAAAATATTTTGCTTGAGCGAGACAATTTGAGAAGGATTTTGTGAGAAAAGTATTCAGAGTTGTTTGCTGTCAGTTGAGGCAGTATTTGGTGCTAGATAGATTAGTTTAGTTACTAAAATAAATTCACATAGTTCACCTTGAAATTTTTTTTAAACGACATTCGAAATTGTTTCGTGTGATACACGTCTAACAAACAGAACAAAATACACAAAAACATTCACATAGAATGATCCAAACCGAAGATCGAGAACTTGATCGGGCGCTGGAACTCTGTCAGCTGATACAGAGCGATCTCCGCACTTGCGTCAATATTGTGCACCGTTTGGATCAGAAGTACAATGAGCCGGACCGCAAAAAGAGTTCCACCTTGCCGCTACGGCCCGATGTGATGATGGGAGAGAACACATCCTTGTCGGCAATCAGTTTGGTCCGATCATCGAACACGTCGTTGTCCATGTTCAGCCTGGACAGTTGCGGCAAGATGAAGGTGGAGGGCCGCACATCCCACGAGCTGGACTACATCTTTGTCGATCTCACGAGCAAGGCGATCAGGGTGCGCCGCGACCTTGAGGCGGCTACCGCTCACACTCAGCGCATAACGGACTGCAGCATGCGCCAGGAGCCCATCCAGCACCGGATGCTGCGCGATGCACGCGGCTCCAAGACCTTCATGTGTAAACACTATAGCCGGGGCAAGCTACTGAAGAGGGGTGGACCGAAGCGAATGTGGCGGCTGCAGGATTACATCAATATGCCTATGCTCAGCTAGGAAACATTGCAAATGACTTTTCGACGTTGATAGTTTTTATTGGAATTTTAGTTTTTTATTCTTCTTCTCTTCTCTTCTTCTTGACTGTTTTGAATGTTTTGTCGTCCGTTTAAGACCTGTGTACCTGTGTATAAATGCACCTTTTTAGCTTTCATTAAAATTTTTGTCATCATTAAACAAGAGAAAACTCTGCCCCGAAAATTAATTTCAGTTGACATTAAAATCACGAAAAGTTGTCTACTCGCTTCACATGGCATCTCATCGTATCGCTGTCCTAGCTGACAGGATGCAGGATGCGAGCAGGAGGCATACATATTCGCGACATGTTTCAGGCGTAAGTTTTTCATGTTCTCACAATGATGAACATGATTATGATGATGATGACAACACAACAACAACAACAGCGTTACATGCTTACGGTCGCAAATGGATGTTTGGGCCGAGAGATATGTATGGGGAAAATATGAGAAAGCGCTCCGGCTCCAGTTCCAGCTCTGGCGCAAAAGTTGTGATAATATAAATGCAAAAGTGGCCAAAGGCCCAGGACCTAACTTTCGAACAACATTCCCAAGTTGCCTCATTTTGCATTTGTTTTCCTCTTCTTTTTTTTCTAGCCTGCCTCCCTCCAAAGAAAACAAAAAATTCATGCTCCTTTAAAACTAGCAAAGGCAAAGGGGGCCTTCTGTACTTTGGCAACACGGCGCTGCTGTCCCTAACTGGATAGCCAACTGGCCAACAACGGCGAGGACATTAAACACAACTTTGCATATTTCAAGTTACATCCATGGAGTTAGTGCAATGAGCTATGTACAAATGCACACATAACGCAGGCCAAGTGCTCTCTCGACGAGCATGCGCAACTGCAAGATACCCTGCAGGGGATAGATATTAGGGAATATCTCCGAATTTTATATAGTAGATATTTGTTAAGTTAAAGATTGATATATCATGAAATTCATTATACCAGATAAGTTTAAATAGACTGCGAATGATATACGAGATATTGAAGAAGATTTAAAAGTATTTTAATTGTATTTAATGCACCTAATGATACCAGGGATCAAGTATAGAAAGCAGAGGCTCATATGATTATATTGCTTTGTATTGGTTCAAATGAATTGTAATTGCGGATGATGTGAAATGACATTGACTTTACTATCCATATGATCAAAAAATATTTTGCATTGGAGTATTTGAAAGAACTACTAAAAATTGTTTTCAATAAAGATAAACTAGTTTTCTTGAATGACCTTTAACAAAAGCGAAAAATTGAATTACCATGGAAATCTCATTTAGATTAAATTCAAATATTTTGTATGTGACATTTTAAGTTAGAAAATCTGTTAGATTTGGAGTACTATTAACCCACTCCTGTAACAGACTTACATTTAATAAAGTCCGCCCAGAGTAACATGAAAAATTTGTAAGAATAAATGTTTGCGTTAACGTGAACGAGTATTACGCAGTCCATCAGACTCGACTAACTTATTTATGTATTTATTTAATGCATTCGGCTATGCAAAAACTTCACTTAGCTTTGCATTTATATTTACAAATATAACAAATGAATACGAGTAGTCTCAACAAATGTTCGTAACAGAAGTTAAATTAAATATATGAAGATGATTTGCATTATGCGATGATGTATTAGAGGGCCTACATACATATAAGTACTGTGATTCAGAGGGAACTGTAATAGAGCTGCTTTTTATTATAAGAGTAAGAATATTGTAATATAAGCCATAGAAATTGTTTTATCTGAATGTCACATATGTGCCTATTATAGATCGAACTTTGAATACTGCCTAAGTGCGAATGATATTATGGCATTGCAAGTCAGCAAATAAATTAAATAAATAAAAGCAAAGGAAAGTAAAGTCGAGTGCTCGAAATACTCTAAGCTTATCATATTGACAGCTGGCACTATAAAATGTTGACTAATGGCTAAGTTAATTTGAATCGTACTCAAATAATGACTCAGGCCTTGACAAGCAAACATCAGTTTTCATATTTATTTGATATATTTAAGAGACTCGGCATCTTTCATGATTTGTCTGCTCATTTTTTATACATTTTATGCTGCTCGAATTGCCTTTAAGTCACACTTGAAGAATTTCTTGGAGTGACACAATCTTTTTAGGTTTTTAATGAACAAGCATTAAATGCTCCCATATTGGGTCAGCAGTTAGCTACTTGCTGGCAGTGAAAAGGACTTGAAATTGCTGCACTTCTAATGTGCTGAGGGCCATTGAATGTCCGTTTGGTTGGCTAAGCAACAATAGATGGGGTCGGTAGGGGGTAGGGGGAAGAAGTTCTAAAAAGGGCAGCATCTCCAAGCCTAATTCAATGTCGGAAATGTGCTAAAAACCGCCAAATTGTTTTCCACGTTTGCACTGTGTATGAATGTGTGTGAGATTTTGTGTGTGTGTGTGTGTGGAGCTGAATGCTTTGTCGTTGTGTGTATGGCGCAGGGCAAGCAGCAAAATGTTGGCGTTTGCTCAATACCAACACAAAAATTTGCCTTTGTTTGCCATCAGTGGCCGACGTGTGTCGGGTCGAGTCGAGCCAACCTCGGCCCGACTCAGGACTAACCAGGTCCTTTTTGTGGGCCATTTAGGATTTGCCATTACAAGTTGCTTAATTAAGATTTCCTGCGGGTCTGCTAGTCGCTTCAAGTGTTCAATACAAATGGTTTGTGTTTCCTTTGTCTATAGACAAACTTAATGACGCAGCAGCAGGAGCAGGAGCAGTTGTTGAATAATAACAACTGCTCGGCATATACGGGCCTCAATAAATATGCAATCAAAGTGACAGTCAAACTTATCGACTGTGCTTCTCTACTAGCTGTTTAGTTAGGCATTTGTCTAAAAAGAGAAACATCTGCGACTTTAGCAAGTCAATGGAAGTTGCAGTATAAAGGTAAGTCAGGTTTGACTTAAAGAGCTGTCTAGAAGACTGGGGGACTATAGTATATGGACTATAGTCCATATATAAAATTTTGATAGAAATTATTGTATTTCCTGCGATTGTTTAACTTAACATGAAACTTTAGTATATCATTAGATTTTTCTAATTTAAAATATATATATAAATTGTTGGTTAATTTTAATTGTAAACCTAAATTTGATACCTAATTTTCGAGACCTTCAGTCGATTTATTCCAATATCAGGATATGTTAATATGTAATGCATTTTACTCGCCAGGCATTTATGTTCCTACTAAATAAAATCATTTTGGTTTTGAAAATTTAAAAGTGATTTTTTATTACTTTCTTAAGCATTCCAGAAAAAGCCGGAAGCTCAAGGCATCTGCCTTGTAAAACGTATAATTAAATAAAAATAAAAGATAGTTAATAGCATCACTTAATAGTGGAATAAATGCCTATCTCTATACATACATATGTACATATATGTAGGTATATGCAGGCTATATCTATCCGTCTCTATTCACATTCCCACTCACATATTTTGGCATCTTCAGTCAAATTATTTGCTGTTATTTTGTTCGATGAGTTGCCATTTGATAACTCACTGAGTGACGCATGGGCAAGGCCCACAGATATTTGTGGCATTTCACAAACAATTTAGTGCTCAATATGTCGGGCCCTCAGGACACTGTAAGGACTTCCGTCTGAATAAATATTTAATCAATCAATTTCGACAATTTCTTTTGGCTCGTCAAATGCTCACACAAACTAAATGCTAGGAGTAATAATAATAGACATAATGATAATAACAATGATGATGATGACGGTGACGATGAAGATGATGATGCTATTACTGCTCGGGCATAAAACAAGTCAGACATATAAAATTGATTTGATTGAAATGTTAATTTCGCAGGAGAGCCGACAAAGGAGTTTCGTCTGGTGCTGATTTCCATAAGCAGCAGCAGCAGCAGCAGCAGACGAGAGATAACGGGACAAGCTCATTGAGAGGCTGTCTATAAAGGGACTTAGTCATTCACAATGAGCTGGACCTGCCTAATGACAAAGCAGCTTTGGGTAGGTCCCTTTGCTGTGCTGTGCCAAAAACACATCAACGAATTTCCGTTTCACGGTGATTCGCTTCAAGTTTCAGTTGCTCTTCCCGTTTTAGTTTCTGCTTCTGCTTCTGCTTCAGTTTCAATTTTGATTTCGATTTCGATTTCAATTTCGTTTTCCGTTTTTGTTTTCAATTGAACTTGATTTTTCCATGAATGCACATTTCTCCGGGTCGAAAACGGATTCTGATGTTCGCTCAGCGCTGTGCGTGCGATTATCAGAAATGCTATTAGTTCGGTCTCCTGTTATTGACAGTTGCTTTGAACCCGGGATTATGTTTGATGTACCAGTCGACATATTTGAAGAGTCTGCGGCCAACCGTTGAGTCCTTAGATGAATTGACATTTCGCAAATTCTGACATACGCGACACGCCCACATGTGACGGCATTCTGAAATTGGATTTCCTTTCTACTTACCTCTTGATTCGGTTTTAACATATGAGACCAGACAACTAGTTTTAACAAATATTGCTCTTATTCATATGCATTAGAACACATCTTTTTCGGAATATATTTTTTTAGTTATTTAAATCAAACATATTTCACTTTTCCTTTTAATTCAAAAGATTCAGTTCCTGATTATCATTTTGTAGACTTGGTAAAATAAATCATTATAATCCATTGATCAAACAAGCAAATTTCTTTCCATTATGAAAATTACAGCAGAAATACCTCGGGTGATTACTGTTGCCCAAGACTGTAGTTCCATGGTCAACAGACTATTGTGAATGTTGTTTTGGTAAAACTTTAACGATGGTATTTATTCGAAATTCTTATTAGTAATTAAGTAAAATACCATTTCATTCTTCAATATCTATGCAGCTAGATGAACCCTGTGTAGAGCAAATCTACTATTTCACTTAGTTACCGAGTATGTAAATATTATATGTACATATTACATATAAATAGTTTATTATTTCCAATTTTCTTTGCCTGTTTTGTTGACTGTTGCTGCATTTTGCAAATCCTAAATACACTGCAGTTGGGAATCTGAATTCTTATGCTTGAGGCGTAATGTCGACAAAGCAAACGTCTTTACAAATTTTGAATTCTTTTGCTGGCAAAAGTTTCCAAAGATCTATAGTTATGTCTAATTCGCTCTGAGCACTTTGCAATCATTTTAAACTGAACGACGCATTAAATCATTTCAGAAAATCTGACT